CTCTGTCCTTAAAACATTTCTTTTTACTCCTTTTTCTTATGAACCTATGTTGCGCATTTTATAAGTTTTATTATTTACATTATTCGGACTCTTTTCCTCATCTTTGTTGCCATATTTATCACATCGTTATCAGGTGGTTGGAATGTCGAACCGAACCCTTTATTTCGCTCACCGGGCTAGTTCCAAGTGTCAGTTAGTGTCCCTCTGAAATTCTCCTGCCTTAACCGGGTATTGAACTCACACTCTTTGGGTCCTGTCACTGGATCTAACCAACGACTTTATCCACTGTGCCATGTCTCCTTGAGGACATCTGGGTATGAATTTCTGGGTATTATAAACCTAATGTCATCAGCAACGATTTTTACTAGTGCTCATATTGCAACTTTTGCTGTTATCATTTAATGTTTTTACCAGAGCTTATATTGCAACTTTGTTGTTATCATTGCTTTTCTCTTGCACTCCTTATTACTGGTTCCCATATTGTATTTATTTCTATGCTTGGTCGGCTCATGAGATTGTTGTGGCCTAGCATGTGTGCTGATTCCTTAAGTTTACGAATTTTCCAATGGTGTTCCTTGTCAATGATCTCAACATGATCCCACAGAGGGCGGTGATCTCCCTTCTCTCTCCATATGTGGTCAGCCACGCCTGATTTTTCTACTTCCCCTCGTGTTACAGCTTTCTGGTGTTCTTGAAGCCTTACCTTAAGGGGGCGGCCTGTCTCTCCTTTATATTTCTTTCCGCAGCTGCACGGGATAGCGTACACACAGTTTTTAGCCATGTTCTCCTCTATGGGGGGGTCTTACTCGGGAGAGATATCTGCGAAGTGTCGTCAAGCTTTTGAAGGTTGTCCTGATGTTATATGGACCGCAGATCCTTTGTATTTTCTCTGATAACCCCTTCACATAAGGTAGGCAGACTGTTTTCTGAGTGTTGTTGTCCTCCTCCTCCTCCTCTTGTACCCGCCTATCCCAGTTTTGTGGGGCTGCTGCCATGTACCCAGGGTAGTTGTTACGTTGTAGAGTACTACTTATACTGACCAGTTCTTTATCTAACGTCTCTGGATCGCCACTTAAGACTTTTGCTCGGTGTTGTAAGCAAATATGGCGACAAAGATGCGGACAAGAGTTCGAATAATGTAAATTATGTACATAATACCTAATCTCAGAAATATAGACAGATTATATGTTTTAATTTCTCTTTTCTGGTATCCTCAGCGTAACCGTAAATATTCCGGCCTCGATACTCTCTCAGTATTTATATTTTTCCTTGTAATTTTTTTTATTTTTGCTATTTCCCTTTCCTTGATACGGTTTTCACTCCGCCATCATTTGACACTTTATTTTATTTCCTGACGTACTATTTTGTGCATTTTATAAGTATGCATTTCTCTCTACAAGTTTCCTCAGCCTAACCCTGAGTTTCTGGCCACGATATTCTCTGAATGCATACACATACATACCTGCATATATAAATAAGAATACTAAAGTATAGATAGATAGATAGATAGACAGCAAAAGATAGATAGATAGATAGATAGATAGATAGATAATTTTTACAAAATAATACAAAGATGTATATAATGCATTAATAAGATAGATAGATAGATAGATAGATAGATAGATAGATAGATAGATAATTTACAAAATAATACAGAGAGGAAGATAACGTACAAATGAGATAGATAGATACCAACACTGCAAAAGATAGATAGATAGATAGATAGATAAATAGATAGATAGATAGATAGATAGTAACGGACTGTCATAGATAGATAGATAGATAGATAGATAGATACCAACACAGCAAAAGATAGATAGATAGATAGATAGATAGATAGATAGATAGATAGATAGATAGATAATTGTACAAAATAATACAAAGATGTATATAATGTACTAATAAGATAGATAGATAGATAGATATGGTTTATCTATTAAATTATTTCTTACTTTATTACTGTCATCTTTGTTTCTCTCTTCAGGTTCCCTCTGCGTAGTCATGACTGTTGTCCGCCATTTTCTCTCTCATCCTCTTAAATTATCTGCAACTTTATATTTTTCTTATTTCATTTTAACTGGTAAGTTCTTCATTCCTTCCATTTTTGTCGTTTCTCTCATTTTTGTTGAATTATTTTTGCCATTTTAGAAGGTTTCGTTCTTCGCTTCAGGTTTCCTTTGCATAGCGATTCAGCTTTTAGTGTTTAGTTGTGGAGTTACTTTTCTTTCTATTGCTATGACTTAATTATGTCACCTTCTATAAAGACAGCCACATGTTGCTGAATGAGAGGAAAGAGATACAGAAGCAAGAGACGTCCGATAAGAAAAAAATATTTGTTTTCTCTTCTTCTTAGTATACACTTCATATACTTCATAACTTGCATGATAATATTGTGGTGTCTTTTAATAAGATAGATAGATAGATAGATAGATAGATAGATAGATAGATAGATAAGGAACAGACTGAGATAGATTGATAGATAGATATATAGATAGATAGATAATGTACAAAATATTACAGAGATGTATATATAATGTACTAATAGATAGATAGATAGATAGATAGATAATGAACAGACTGAGATAGATAGATAGATATGATAGATATAGATAGATAGATATATATATATAGATAGATACAGATAGAGATGTATATAATGTACTAATAGATAGATAGATAGATAGATAGATAATGAACAGACTGATAGATGAATATATAGATGTAGATAAGGAACAGACTAGATAGATAGATAGATAGATAGATAATAGATGAAAATATTACAGAGATGTATATAATAGATAGATAGATAGATAGATAATGATAGACTGAGATAGATAGATAGATACATAATAGATAGATAGATAGATAGATGATAAGGAACAGACTGAGATAGATTGATAGATAATATATAGATAGATAATGACAAAATATTACAGAGATGTATATAATGTACTAATAGATAGATAGATGGATAGATAGATAGATAATGAACAGACTGAGATAGATAGATAGATAGATAGATAGATAGATAGATAGATAGATAGATAGATAAGGAACAGAGTGAGATAGATTGATAGATAGATATATAGATAGATAATAAATGTACAAAAATATTACAGAGATGTATATAATGTACTAATAGATAGATAGATAGATAGATAGATAATGAACAGACTGAGATAGATAGATAGATAGATAGATAGATAGATAGATAGATAGATAGATAGATAGATAAGGAAATAGATGAGATAGATTGATAGATAGATATATAGATAGATAGATAAGTACAAAATATTACAGAGATGTATATAATGTACTAATAGATAGATAGATAGATAGATAGATAATGAACAGACTGAGATAGATAGATAGATAGATAGATAGATAGATAGATAGATAGATAGATAGATAAGGAACAGACTGAGATAGATTGATAGATAGATATATAGATAGATAGATAATGTACAAAATATTACAGAGATGTATATAATGTACTAATAGATAGATAGATAGATAGATAGATAATGAACAGACTGAGATAGATAGATAGATAGATAGATAGATAGATAGATAAGGAACAGACTGAGATAGATTGATAGATAGATATATAGATAGATAGATAATGTACAAAATATTACAGAGATGTATATAATGTACTAATAGATAGATAGATAGATAGATAGATAGATAATGAACAGACTGAGATAGATAGATAGATAGATAGATAGATAGATAGATAGATAGATAGATAAGGAACAGACTGAGATAGATTGATAGATAGATATATATAGATAGATAATGTACAAATATTACAGAGATGTATATAATGTACTAATAGATAGATAGATAGATAGATAGATAGATAGAACAGACTGAGATAGATAGATAGATAGATAGATAGATAGATAGATAGATAGATAGATAGATAGATAAGGAACAGACTGAGATAGATTGATAGATAGATATATAGATAGATAGATAATGTACAAAATATTACAGAGATGTATATAATGTACTAATAGATAGATAGATAGATAGATAGATAATGAACAGACTGAGATAGATAGATAGATAGATAGATAGATAGATAGATAGATAGATAGATAGATAGATAGATAAGGAACAGACTGAGATAGATTGATAGATAGATATATAGATAGATAGATAATGTACAAAATATTACAGAGATGTATATAATGTAATTAATAGATAGATAGATAGATAGATAATGAACAGACTGAGATAGATAGATAGATAGATAGATAGATAGATAGATAGATTTATAGTATATAATGTAATAGATGATAGATAGATAGATAAAACAGACTGAGATAGATAGATAGATAGATAGATATGGATAGATACATAATGTACAAAATAATAAATATATACATATATATATATATATATATATATATATATATAGATAGATAGATAGATAGATAGATAGATAGTGTAGAAAGAGAGAGGGGAACACTGTAATTATTTCTAATATATGCGCAACATTCCTAGTTCAGCTATACTCAAACGTTTTCGCAGCGGAAAAGAGACACTTAAATATTTTAAGAAATCAACTGACAGGCCAAAAAGAGGTGGCTTTCTCCCGAGTCAGGTTTCTCAAGGCTTCAACTCTGTTTCCTCCGTCGTTTACTAAGACAACGGAGTCCGTCAGCTGCGAGACTTCTTTCGAAGTCGCCGTCCATCAGGTGCCCGCCCAACTGACGGACAGTCTACGGAGAGAGACGCGCTGACCGCTTCCGCATGTCTCTAACTCTTTGATTATACATGCACATGTCAATATCGTTGGAAACGATGACAAACGTTAGTCGGGGGTAGTGAGGCGTGGGTTACAAATTTTTTCCGTTTTTCAGCGGCTCTAACGAAACGGCCTGCAACGAAAGGAAACAATGTTCAATGATGTATATACTAACGTATACTTACTCAAACTCAGATTACTTACATTACATACATTTGTGCGTGAAGTTATGTATATATATATA